TTCTACAACATCATCATCTTCATTAGTCACATTTAAAGGTGAATTAAATTCGAATGATCAGTATCACCCTTTGGATCAACAAGTGAAAAAATTCTGGGAATTAGAAAGTTGTTTCGATCCTATAATCAAAATTACAAAAGAGCATTTAGATTGTCAAGACCATTTTCAAGCACATTTTTCTCGTTTAGTAACTGGTGAATACTCAGTTCGGTTACCAATCAAATTGGATGTTCAGTCGCTTGGTGACTCATATCAACAAGCTGTACGCCGTTTTCAAAACCTGGAGCGTAAACTACAACGAAATGCTGATCTAAAGTCGCAATATAGTGCATTTATAAAGGAGTATTTGCATCTTAATCACATGTCACTATTGACTGATGAAGAATTAAGTCATCCCAAGTATTTTTTGCCACATCATTGCGTTATCAAGGAATCCAGTTCTTCTACAAAGCTTCGTGTTGTATTTGATGGTTCAGCAGTTACATCAACTGGGTACTCTTTAAATGACATATTAATGGCCGGTCCTACAATTCAACCAAATCTTATTGATTTACTTATTCGCTTTCGTTCTTTTCCTATTGCAGTAACTGCAGACATTTGCAAAATGTACCGTTGTGTTCGCATCACACCTCCAGATACTTTTTTACAATGTATTCTTTGGAGAGATGACCTGCAGGAACCACTGAAGGTATATAAACTTGATACTGTCACTTACGGCACAAAGCCTGCGGCTTTCCTGGCTGTTCGAGCTATGCAACAATTAGCGGTTGATGAATCATCAAATTTTCCTATTGGTTCCAAAATTACTCTTCGAGATTTTTATGTTGATGACTTAATTTCCGGTGGTAATTGCATTAATGATGTTCAAGACATTGTGAGACAAACTTCTGCATTGCTCAATAAAGGCAATTTTAAACTTAGAAAATGGTGTTCGAATCAATTAGCTGCTCTTGATGACATTCCTGAAGCCGACAGAGAGCCATTGCTCAATTTCGATGATGGCAGTGAGTTTACAAAAACCCTTGGTCTAATCTGGAATCCAACCGAAGATAAATTCTTATTCACCTTTGTTCCTTGTCAGGATTCAAAGCGTGTTACAAAGCGTTCTGTGCTTTCTGTTATTGCACGATTTTATGATCCGCTTGGTCTTGTTGGTCCTTTGATATCAAAGGCAAAAATATTTTTACAGTGTTTGTGGAAGCATACACTAGATTGGGACGAGAGCCTTCCAAATCAACTGCACACCGCATGGACTGACCTCTACAATCGTCTACATATAACTCAAAAATTGGAATTTCCACGTTATGTCTCTTTACTTAATGCAGCACTCGAACTACATGCCTTTTGTGACGCTAGTATGAATGAATATGGTGTTTGCATCTATGTAATCTCACGGTTCGGAAGTTCTACGTCTGCTAATTTACTTTGTTCAAAGTCTCGAGTAGCACCTTTAAAAACACTGACAGTGCCAAAATTGGAATTATGTGCCGCAGCCTTATTAGCTCAA